GGCACGAACCCGCTTCCCCTGCATTGGCAGGCAGACTCTCAACCACTGCACCATCAGGGAAGCCCATAAAAAGGAAAGAATATTGCTCCTGTACTTTTTAGGTATCTGAGTAAAGAAAGCAGCAAATTACTATCAAACTATTATAGTTAGCAAGTATAGTTGATTCATTCTTCCTCATTCATCTCATCCTCCCTAACAAAGACACTGATAAGAAAATTATTTTTCCTTTATCAGAGAGAAAAGACAACTCTTAAAATGTAACACAAATATCAATAAAAAGAAGGAAAATCGACAACCACTATCTAATCTAACACACATCAACCAATTAAATGGGAAAATACTCTTAGAAATGCAATAATACTCAAGCCTGGAAACAAACAAAAAATGTACAACATTTTGTGGTAGAGTAAAATTCTAAAGATACCACTTTCAAGATTCCTACCCCTTGGTTGTTCAATCAAACACTAACCTAGGTACTTCTGTGAAAGGACTTTGTAGATGTAACTAAGGTCATGGATCTTAAAATAAGATTATCCCATATTATCCAAGTGTGCCAATTTAATCACTTGAGCCTTGGAAAACAGAAAAACTTCTCCAGCTTAAAGTCAAAGAGATGCAGCCTGAAGAGAGAACAGGAGAGATGAGGCAGAGGGGGCGGTCAGAGATGTGAAGCATGAGAAGAAATCAATCTGCCATTGGTGGCTATAAAGAAGGAGGAAGGGGGCCACAAATACAATCAAAGAATGCAAAGGCGTCTAAAAACTGAGACAGACTTCTAAGAACTCAAAATGACAAAAAGAACCTCGATTGTCCAACTGCATGGTGCAAATTCAGCTGAGTGAGTTTGGAAATGGATTCTTCCCAGAACCTCCTAATAAGAGTCCAAATGACCAACACCTGTATTTATTTAGCCTTGGGCAACTTGTATCAGAGAAACCAGGAGGGCCTACCAGACTTCTGACCTATAGAACTATGAGATAATAAATGGGTATCGTTCTAAGCTGCTAATTTGTGGCAATTTGTTACAGTAGCAATAGAAAATGAATACACATTTCCTTATGTCTTTCCTTTTCTCTTAGACACAGACATCACAGGACAGATTGAGCTATGGAAGCAAAGATCATGGGATGGGATGTTAGCATGGATAAGAGAAGTAGAGGAATGTAAAACTAGGAAAGTTTCAAGGCTCAAAAAGACTTTTTGATGAAGAACCTTTGAGAAGTTACTGGTTCTTGCAGCTACTGCACCATCTTCTGTGAACATGAACACCTCAATACACACAGCATAATACTGTGCTCAGAATAATTATTAAATCATAATTACAGAAGTGAGAATATCTGCATCTGGTAACTGCTATTTTGAAAAAGTAATGCAGTAGATTCAAAACTGCTATTTTGAAAAAGTAATGCAGTAGACTGTGTTAGTACACAAGGCTTGGTTTGTAGGATTATGTTAAAGCAGCATGCCTGAAAGTTTTGAGGCATGTTCTGCTAACTTAAATCTTCAAACCAAAACTACTTTCATAAATGCATCTTTATAAGTTAGTATTTTAAAGTTTATAGATTATAAAAAGGATTGCTAAAACTTAATAAAAGTCTTTCCATATGAATAATGTTTGCGAAATTACATTTGAAATCAAATCTCTAAAATTTGATTAAAAAGATAAGTGCTTGTCATTTTCCAGCAATATGAACTTTTAAAACTTATTCATACAGTAAAACCTCCAATTTTATATAAAAACTGTATTAATAAAACCACTTGACCAAATACAAAGTCATCAGGCCATATACCAGTATATATGGCTTTTGTTTAGAAATAGGTAGAGTATAATTTTAGAAGTATATTAAACTTTCAAAGCATTTGAATATGTGCATATCATGAGGTTTTCACTTATGCCATTAAACCTTAAATGTCATTTAACCTAGAGATGAAATAATACAATACAGAAGTATTTCAGAGAGTAAGTAGAGGGTCAAACTACAAATTCAATAAGAAAGGTCATGTGCAATGTGGCACAAAGAGCATATTTTTAAAGACTACATGGGTGAGAAAAGAATAGCCTCCTAAGAACTTCTCTGAAATTGCCTCATTTTACTTAAACTTGCATTTGAGTTATAGGAACAAACAAAAAATATATATAAATGAGCAAGAAATATATCAGTTAGTGTTAAGAAATGGGTAAAGAATTAAAGCAGGTAGATGTGTTGGTACTGATTAAATGGCCTGGAAAGGCCTCTCTGAAAATGCAACGTTAACATCTGAATGATACAGAGGAGCCAACAATTAATAAAAAAGAAAAAACAAACAAAAACAGAGAACAAACAGCGCAAAAGCCCTAAGGTTGATTTCCCCACGAAGGCACAGTGGCAGGCAAGAAGGAAGCAAGATGAGGTTAGAGAAGAAGGTTGGGGCCAGACTGTGTGGGGCTTTGTAAGCTTATACAGTTGACCCATAGATAACGCAGGGGGGCTATGGACACTGACCGTCCACAGGCAAAAATCTGAACATAGCTTAGAGTTGACCTTCTGTATCCGTAGTTCCTCTGTATCCACGGTTCCTCCATACCCGGACTCCCACATATTCATATTCAACCACCTGCGGATCATGTAGTACTGTAGTATTGACTACTAGAAAACAATCTGCATAAAAGTGGACCTGCACAGTTCAAAACCATGCTGTTCAAGCATCAATCATATATAAATCTGGAATTCATTCTAAGTGTTTTTTGAAAATATTTTGGAAATTTTAAGAAAAAAAGAGAGATGATTTGGTTTAAGTTTTTAAAAGCTCACACAGCCTTCTGGAGAGAATGGACTGAAGAGGAAGCGCAAATTGAGGCAGGGAGACTGATGAGGAAAGCGGTCTCTGATTTAACACACACTTACAGTGCCCATGTGCCAGAAGCTGTTTAAGGCACTGGGGCACAACCATGAACAAAACAAAGCTTGTGCCCTCATATGGCTAATATTCTAGTTGGGGAAAAGGAAATTAATAAACAGGTAAATAACAATATGTCAGATGGTGATAATAGTTAAAATAAACAAGGCAAAGGAGGATATGGAGAGCTGAGGAAAGAGTACATTATTATATAGACAGTGCTCAGAGAAAGTATTAACTTAAAAGATGACAACTGAGCAGAGAAGCAAGGGTGATAACTGGGGGTGGAAATCTGCTGGAAGAAGGAACAGCAATTGCAAAGGCCTTGAGACTTCAGAAACAAACCTGCAGCACTAGAAAAACAGGAAAAAGGCTACTGTGGTTGTTAAAGATTGAGCAAGGGTGACAGTGGTAGGAGATGAGATCTGAGGGGAAGAAGAGGACCAGAAGTGGTAAGACCCTGTAAGACACTGGAGGGACTCTGAGAAAGATGAGGTGCCATCAGAGAGTTAGAACGGAGAAGTGATATGATCTAACTTATATTTCAAGAGACACTCTAGCTGCTATGCTGAGAATAAACTGGAAGTGGGAAAGAAAGAAAGCCTGATATAATGGTGGCTTAAAAAATGTGGTAGATGGTAGTGGAAGTATGAGAAGTAATTAGATTCTCCACATTATGAAGACAGAGCCAAAGCTATGGCAGTAAATGAGGTGAGAGATGATGGTGGCTTGCATTAGGTTGGTAATAATGACACCAAGTAAACCAAGCAAATGAATTCAGAGTAAGTTTTAGAGTTGGAGCCAAAAGGACTAGCTGGTAGATTGGGTATATGAAGTAATGAAAAGAGAGAAAGGATCACCTCTGGGTTTTTTGTTTTGAGCAACTGAGTGGATCCTAATACAGACAAATCAAAAGTTCTGTATTGGTCATCTGACATTCATAAGAAAACATCAAATGAGCATCTGTATATATGATCCTAGAATTCCACAGAGAGGTTGGGGTTAGAAATAAGAGATATAAAAGTCAGTAATTTACAAATGATATTTAAAGTCAGGAACTGAATGAGGTCATGAAAGAATGTATAATAATGAAAGAAGGGAACCCAGGGCAAGACTGCAGTGGCAGGAAGAATATTCCAAAATTTAGAAGGAAGGAAGAATACTCCAACATACAGAGAAGCAACCAAAAAAGGAAAGAGAAAAGGAAAATCCTAAAAGGATTGAGAAATGAAAGAGGAAACATAATAATCAAGAGAAGAAAGTGGAAAGTGTTTAAAGAAGGAACAAATGGACAACTTTGTTGAGAGATCAAGTAAGATAAAAGCACAGAAGTCACTATTGGAAATAGATATATGGAAGAAGACCTCATTAACCTTAACAAGAGCAATCTTGTGGAACTTTAGGGAGGAAGTACAAATAGAATGAGTTGAAGGTAGAATAAGAGTTGAGGAAATGGATTACTGTGGTCTTTGACTATGGACACACTTTCAGGATGTTTCGTTGTAGAAGAAAATAAAGAAATGGGATGATAGAAAGGGGATAGAGGGTCATGGGCAGCATTTTTAAGACAGGTGATACTGAAATATATTTGTATACTAACAGAAAGGATCCAGTAAAGAAGGTGAAATTGATGATGCAGGAAAAAGGGATAATGGCAGGAATGAAAAAGGAAAGAGCAAATGGCTGGCCTTTAATTGGAACAAGGACATTCATTCAGAGTAACAGAAGGGAAAGCAGAATGAGTATGATACTATTGTAGGTAGCTGGTAGAACTGTTAGTGGGAAGTAAACATTTTGTCTTATTGCTTCTATTTTCTCAAAAAATTTTAGTAAAAGGTTACTTCAAGGGACTTCCCTGGTGGTCCAGTGGTTAAGACTCCATGCTTCCAGTGCAGGGGATGCGGGTTTGATCCCTGGTAGGGGAACTAAGATCCCACATGCCCCGTGGAGTGGCCAAAATAAAAACAGAAAACAAAAAAAAACAGGTAGAGATTGTAAGATAAGTAGGATAAAGGGGAAAAAATGTATAATCTTTCTAAACTAAGGTCAGCATAGAATAAAATGTAAATTAAAAACAAATACTTCAGGTCACTGGTCTAGTTCTAGAAAAGAAGTGTACTTACCCAGAGTTTTACATGCAAATAGAGTCATGGCACTTTGCAATCTGTCTGGTCTGAGAGCCTGTACCACAAGAACCTTAAAATAAAGTGCAGAGTATTTTTAAATAATAAAGTTCCAATAACAGCTGTTACTAAACAATAGTTAATGTTAAATTAAACAAATGTTTACCACAATATTTACTATGCCTAAAACTGTCACAATAGGTAGATAAAAAGACACGTCCTTAATAGCCAAAATATTACTAAAATTCATCAAATCTACCATCAAAAGTAAACATCAGCATGTAGGGTCATAGCATTAGCTATGCCTTCAGGAACTAATAAAGGGCCCAATGGCAGGTGAAAATAAGGGTATGTAGGTAAAGCATTCTTGGTGACAGCAGTGCAGAAGCATAAAACTCTTAACCAAAATTTTCAAACTACCAATTTTATGCTGAATCATATCTATCTGTTCCTAGATGTTTAAGTTTTCAAATGAAGTTTTTCTCAGTTTTTTTGTTTTTTTCATTGTTTTTAAACACACTTGGTGAAATACAATTCAACAAGGGGCAGAAGCACAGCCAGCAGCCTAGTTAAGAGATATAAATGGAAGGGTCATTTCCTGGAGCGTCAACTCCTGTGTCCTCTCCAACCTAAGACTTTGGTCTAGCCAAAAGACTGAGTGGAACCCACCAGTAGGTTTCATCATTATATTTCGAAACAAAATGGAAAAAAATGTTCCCTGTTCCTCACCATAAGGTCTTTTCCTTAGAGAGAACACTGGGAAAAGAGTGAAGAACCTGTACAATCTATACTTTAACTTCTTTCGGTAAGACGTGTTCTCTATTGAGAAATCCCCCTCGGGTCAGAGGCAGAGGAAGTAAGAAAAGCTACAGTGGGAGACACCCTACCCAGAAACGTTGCCAATTATTTCATTGTCTGGACAAGGTGGCAAAAGCAGAAGGCCCTTTCCCACATATGCCCATTAAGGTTATGTGACACCCTAAAGGCAAAGCTTTTATTTAAATGGCTTCTGAGTGACAACAGAAACATTAAATACATTTATGCGTTTAGACAATTTACCTGCTGAAATAAGGAAACTTTCTTTGCAAGAATAGATGGAAACTCTTGCTCACACATTGAATTATGATAATAAGTATGCCACAAAGCTACATCTTCGAAACAGAGGGTCTGATAAAGACTGGGGAGAGCAATCTAAAAAATAAAAATAACCATATATACTGAGCTACAAAGCAAATATAAATACACACACACACATCCATACTAAATACACACACACACTAAAAAAAGTAAGTGGAAACCAATTATTGATATTTACCATTTGTTTTCTAATTCGTGTTGGCTTATTTAATCACTTCTAGATCAGAAACAGTATGGCAGACTTATCTAATCCAGAATTAAATAAAAGCAAATATTTCCAAAGTAGTACTAAATCAATACTGCAAATTAACAAATCTTTTCTCTATGTAAAAACATTTGTACCTATCTCCACCTTGTGGAGAAAAGAATACTTTCATTAAAAACGTGCAAATTTTAAACATTGCCAGAATGGAGTTCCATGTTAGAGTGTAAAAATATGCCCAGTTTCAAATCTTGACTCTATACTTTCTCAGTGACCATAAGTAAGTGACTATATCACTCTGGGCCTTAGTTTCTTTATCTGTTACATGAGGACAATAACAGTACCTCCCTCACAATGTTGAAAATATCTAATGAGATGATCCATTTTCAATTTCTGCATACCTTGAACATAGTAAGTCATCAGTAACTGCTGGCTACTCCTACCATTTTAACCATGTGCTACTGTACCATTAGAATAGTTGTGAAGAAAAGCAGGGAAAGGAAAGTAAGAATGGAAACATATGTTACAGATTTTGAGAGAAGTATATTTGTCTTTCATTCCCCACAAAAACAACACTTTAGCCTGAGTAAAGAACACAGACAGAACTGTTGGGAGTTAGGCTTTTTCTTCTCCATGCCCCCATCCTCACTGCCCAAGTCATACCAGGGGAAGAAACTGTGGGGAGGGGAAAGAAGGAAGGAGAGAAAGAGAGGACAAAGACACTATATTTGGAAAACCTACATATCAAAGGCATGTAGGAATGTGGTGTCAGAATGCCTGAATTAAAATCATAGTTCCAAAACTTCCCAGCTATTTGATACTGGAAAAATTATTTAACCTGTCTACACCTCAGTTTGCTCTTCTCAAAAACAGGCATAATTATGACCTCTTCAATAGGTCATTGTGATAATAAAATAAGATAATGCATCTGAAGTATTTAACATGATGCTTGGCACGTAACAGTTCCTCAAAAATATGTATGAAATTGAAAAGAAAATATGTTCATGCATTTTGCAACTCGCTGCACTGATTCTTATTTCTCATCTGTAAAAAGAAAGTTAATAATACCTCCCTCTTAAGGTTTGTGTGATAATTGAATAAGATAATTCATTTGAAAATGTTTCATAAACTAAAATGATAATAAAACACTAATATTCAGGAAAGCCCCGCATTCCTAAATGTTTTGCATTTCTTTACTTAACAAGAAATTAGTATGTGAAAAAAAGCATCAGTATAATTTTTTTTTTTTTTTGCGGTACGCGGGCCTCTCACTGTTGTGGCCTCTCCCATTGCGGAGCACAGGCTCTGGACGCGCAGGCTCAGTGGCCATGGCTTACAGGCCCAGCCGCTCTGCGGCATGTGGGTTCTTCCCGGACCGGGGCACGAACCCGTGTCCCCTGCATCGGCAGGCAGACTCTCAACCACTGCGCCACCAGGGAAGCCCCATCATTATAATTTTTAGGTTAACACAGTTAAGATTTTTTCCCAAGTGTAACCTCTCAGTAGATCAACTGTTCAAACAATTTTAACTGTATCATGTTGATTATTATTAAGTTTGCCATTAGGAGTTCATGAAATAGTTCAGAGGTCCTGACCAATAATCCAGAAATCTCTTCAAATTCTCACTATTTTTCATAATTATTGATTTTTTGCATTCTATTAAAATTGTTTAAAGGACTAATCAGAATAATTCTTGAATATTCTTTTACCCAGGGATTTTACATAATTTTCACAAAAATATCAACACTGAGTATGAATAAGTAGCACATAAAAATATAAACAGAAATAACTCAAATACTAGAAAAAATAAATCTCTCATAGTAGAAGAGGAATACCTTTAATGTTGCCACTGCCCAGCTTCTTTCCTGATCTATCCAAGATGGAAGTTGATCACGTATTCTTTGTTGAGAGTCCTTTTTAATAAGAGCAATTATTTTCCTTAGTATATCTGGTAAAACTCAGACTTTAAAAAAATTAAAAATTGACCAGCTAATTTTATGAACACTATTTTGAAAAAAACTCATTCTATGTATTCTTTAATTTTTATCTATTTTACAAGTCAATATGGTAAAATTCTACATAACGTCAGGTACTGGTAAACATTTAGACAAATGTTACATTCATTTTCATAGGGCTTAATCTTTTGTAGAACTTCAGAAAAACTCAAATGTAATAAGAAACTTCCATAGAATTATATTATTTTTAATTATATTTTGCATGTCAGACATAATCTAGGTTTTGCATTACAGTTTGGATAGGTTGCTTTGAAGAATAATATTATCCATTACATGTTTAAATAGAAAATTACTAGAGAAAAAGCTAAATTTGAATAAAGTTGTCAAAAGTTAAATGAAGTAATTTTTAACTATACTTATATAAGAAAATTTTCATAGTTATGTTATGAGATTTGATCTTCTTCGAATTACAAAAGTGTTCTTGGAACCAAATATATATACACTGAAAAAAAGAAACCATATTAATTTCTTATATTTAATTAATATTCTCAAAAGAATACATGTCCTCAAGGACAAAAAAACACATATAGGTCCATTTTCTATTAGGGCAATAGAGGCAAGAATATAGTCCTCTAATTAAAATATAATTTCAACAGTAATTTAAAACTTCTCTCAAGCAAATTATATTTCATGAAATCAAAGCCAGAATTATTTTCACTAAGAGTGAAATAATAATTTTGTTATTCTAACTTACAGCTTTCCGCAACATGTCTCCAACAACCACACCTGTAAACGTATCCCATTCCTATTAAATAAAAATATGAGAAACACACAAAAAATATTCTAACCATTTAACAAATCTTTTTAAATTTCCCCATAAGATAGCTTACAATTTAGCTTTCTAAAAACATGGAAAAAAATAAAACTCCTTTCATACCTTCCCACTCTAGGACATTAACATAAGAATGAGTTCATGTACCATACCAACATAAAACATTAAAACGAAATCTACTAGAATAATTTTAAGACAAAATTAGGACTACAGGGCTTCCCTGGTGGTGCAGTGGTTGAGAGTCTGCCTGCCGATGCAGGGGACACGGGTTCGTGCCCCAGTCCGGGAAGATCCCACATGCCGCGGAGCGGCTGGGCCCGTGAGCCGTGGCCGCTGAGCCTGCGCATCCGGAGCCTGTGCTCCGCAATGGGAGAGGCCACAACAGTGAGAGGCCCGCGTACCGCAAAAAAAAAAAAAAAAAAAAAAAAAAAAAAACAGAACTACATTATACATGTGAGTCTCAACATCTAAAAATTTAAATGTCTTATTCAATTAGCATTTGTCACTACCTTCAATTTTTCCTATTATATACTACTCCTCACTAATAGATAAGCAGTAAGGTGCACCAAAAGTTTAAAAATTGTATATATTGGGAAAAATAGAGAAAAGTACTACCATTAACTTATCTTTTCCAACACACTGGGAGAAGACTACCATTACTCCTTTTTTAAAATAAATTAACCCATGGAATCAAAATTGATCAAGTGTTACAGAATCTAGAGTTCTTAGAAAATCTATGTCTTCACTCTGGGTTACCCATTCAGATAATTATGGGCACTACCATATTATTTGTTACACATTGGCCAGCAAATAAAGCCAAGACATACTAAAATTTGAGAGCCATATGGAAAAATTACCAAAGCAACATACTTCCTGCCTCCACCCACTCTGCCCATTCATTCTTCCTACTGAAGTTATACAGTCACAAATAAATAAAATACAAATTATCACTACTACTTTATGCAAGTCAAATAAAACTGTTCTCCTTTCCCAATGATAATTTATTTATACTCCAGGAGGGAAAACTAGGGAACATTAAGTGTTATACAGCAGAACATATTGAGCATGGTGAAAAACATTATACAGGAGGAGGGAAAAGCATCAAAGTAAATAGTGTAAATAAAGAGAGTCAAGTTAAATTTGGAAGAAACTATACAAGTCAGCCAGAGCATGTGGAGTTAGAGAAAAAGAGAGAACAGTCACATGGAATGGTATGCATTCTTTTAACTATTCAAACCAGGGGAACCCAGAGCATAGTTACAATCTGACCATAGAGAGTTAAAGGTTACTAGGTCAAAGTCCACTGTCCATATATACTATTTGCTGCCACCCTGGCTATTGAATGCTCACTTTAACGATAATGGCATAATAATGAGAAAAATCACTTACAAATAATTTTTTTAATATTAGAGGCAGGTCAGAGATGGATTACTTAGCTCTATCTTGAAGGAAATTCTTTTCAAGTTTGAGAGGGGGTTATATGGTAGACCAGAAATGAAGTCACAGACAAAAAAAGATAAATTATACATTAAAATATTAACATAAACCTGCAGGCTCAAAGAAGGCTTCTGAGAACTGCCCACCCTCCTGCTTCATCTGCTGACTCTGAGCAAGTCAGTGGAGGTAATAAATAATGTAGTGGCATACCCATATTGTTTAACTTTTTTATATTTATCAGTTCCACTGCTTAGATGAGGGAAATAAGAAGGGTGACTCTTCTGGTGCCCTGGAAAAGTGGACTTGTGTTCAGAAAAATCTAGGTAGCATGGTAAGTTAGAGTTCTTTCCCTGCCTTACCATTGCTTCAGAATACTGGGCTCACCCAAACGAGAGTAGAACTGTAAATCAGCATCTTACACTAAACTTCTAACTAAGTAAAAAATAGATTGGCATGTAATTTCTAGCCTTAAGTAACTTCTAATCTAACCATAAGTCCACCCATTACCAGATTTCTATGCAACTCTTTTAATAATTTTCTCCCTTCCTTCCACTTACATTTTCTTGAAAAAGTTCAGGATGCATGCCTCGAACGAAATGCAAAGCGAACATCAACTGATCAGCCTGAAAAGAATAACAGATGTTATCTTGCTTTTTCTAAATTTGTGTTTTTGGAAAAGCATAGTCCTTAAATTTTGGTTCACAAAATCTGTATTCTGTCATCTAATAATCTACTTTTATCATCTACATATGACAACTCTTCTAAGTTGGGGATGAGAGTACAGAGAGAGTGCTAACACTTTTAGAGATAGTGCTAAGGATTAATCAGTGTGTACATCTCATTTAAAAAAAAAAAGATTTAACTAGCTGAAATATGATTGTGAGGTTTAGATTAGTCATTACTAACCAGATCAACCTTTTGGATTAGTAATCTTCAATTTGTCATTGTGTATGTTATATTCTCCTGAATATTCTGTATGCCCCTAAATCAAGAAACTTCACTTCTAGAAATTTATGCAGGGCATCATAAATGTACTCCTAGAGAAGAAATAAGGATATTCATTGCAAGGTTTTAAAAATGTTTATTTATTTATTTGGCTGTGCCGGGTCTTAGTCACGGCACATGGGATCTTCGCTGTGGCACGTGGGACCTTCAGTGTAGCGTGCGAGATCTTTGTTGCATCATGCAGGGTCTTTGGTTGTGGCATGAGGACTCTTAGTTGCGGCATGTGAACTCTTAGTTGTGGCATGCATGTGGAATCTAGTTCCCTGTCCAGGGATCAAACCTGGGCCCCCTACATTGGGAGCATGGAGTCTTAACCACTGGACCAGCAGGGAAGTCCCACAAGGCTTTTTATAATGGAGGGAAAACTGAAATAAATGTTCAAAAGTCTATCATGAATAACAGTCAAATCAAAGGGTATAGCATAGCTCATATTGTTTATCTAAACAAATATGTTTATATAAACAGATATGGATATATATCTGCAAAAGAAATTAGAAATAGATATCAAAATTTTTATCAGTGATTTATTTTTGAGAATACAGGTTATTTTTATTTCATTATTTTTTCTTAGGTGTATTTTGCAAACTTTCTAAAATAAGCTTATATCATTTCCGTAAAAAAAAAAACCAGCAACCAGTTTACTAACATAACAAAACCATCTGCTCAAGCACCATCTTTCCTACCAAGTTCTAATTCAAACTTTATTTAGCTTTTCCCATATTGTAAATAATACTTTATTCGTATCTAATATTATATCTGTGCATGCTTATAAACCTACAGATAAATATAAGGATATTACAATACAATATATGCAAAAGATATGCTCAACAAAAAAAGATCCTCCTGTAAATACTACCAGCAAGTGATCTCCTTGCCTGCAAGAAAACCACCCCTCTGTTGGAAAAATCCAGTGTCTTGAATAATACAATACAAAATAATAATTTATTTTATAAAAGTATATATTGGGGCCTTCCCTGGTGGCATAGTAGTTGAGAGTCCGCCTGCCGATGCAGGGGACACGGGTTCGTGCCCCGGTCCGGGAGGATCCCACATGCCACAGAGCGGCTGGGCCTGTGAGCCATGGCCGCTGAGCCTGCGTGAACAGAGCGTGTGCTCCGCAACGGGAGAGGCCACAACAGTGAGAGGGGCCCGCGTACCACAAAAAAAAAAAAAAAAAAAAGTATATATTGGGTATGTTTGTGTGTGTATATATAGATATATATAGCAAGTACTCAATAAATATGTATTAAGTGAATAACTAAAAAACAAACATATGTTCACAACTACAACATAGTCAATGAGTGAAAATAAAGCATAAAAACTGGAAGCAGATGGCCATCACTCAGGTATGAGAAAAACAGTTACAACCAACTACAGTGTATATAAAACAACTACCATATGGCTTAAAATATATAAAAAGCAAGGCATATCATTGGGAGAGATGTGTAATATTCTTTGGAATTAGAAGGTTAGAATTCAGGTTTGACTGGGTCTTCGCTGGTGGTCCAATGGTTAAGAATCCGTCTTGCAATGCACTGGACACTGGTTCAATCCCTGGTCGGGGAACTAAGATCCCACATGCCGTGAGGCAACTAAGCCCACGTGCCACAACTACTGAGCCCACATACTCTGGAGCCCGTACATCACAACTAGAGAGAAGTCTGCGCACTGCACTGAAGAGCCCACTCTCCACAATGAAAGATCCCGCATGCCACAACTAAGACCCAACGCATCCAAAAAATAAATAAGTAAATAAGTAAATATAAAAAAAGAGAATATTAAAAAAAGGAATTCAGGTTTGGGATTGAACAGTAACTAGCTGTAAAAGGCAGTAAGTTGCTTATTTTACACACTAACAAATATTGTAAATGGTTATAATAGCATCCCTCATCTAAGGTAAAGAAATAATGATTAAGATAAACAAGACAATAAATGTATTATTTTGAAGGCCTTATCACTTAATAATACAGTTAATTCTTTTTTACACACATATAATACACATACAATATTAATACATTTATTTAGCCATTTCTTTCTTTGAACTAAGGAAGAGTAATGTAGTCTCTAGTGTTAGTGGACAGAAGGCTGTACAACTCTCTGAGCCCCAGATTATCCACTGGAGTCAATGAACTGCTTTATTGATTATTACTGAGCCAAGCTCTAAAATGTTGGCAAAACATAGGCACATATTATGTAGTCAATAAATGGGTAATGGTGGTCATCCTTTTCTTTGTTTTCTGGTCACAGAAGACATCCTGACCTTAGGGATAAGCCTATAATCAAGTTGGCCCAATCTCAATATATCGTGCCACAGATAATGGTACAAGGGATGCCATATGACCTAAGCCAGGCAAACCAGGATCATCTTCTATGATTTTCCAACTGGGAGATGGCAGAAGAAAGCTGTTTATGGTAGCTGTCTGGTTGCCTAGCTATACCAATGAATCCCTTTAGCCATAAGAATTTAACAATGATTTTATAATGAGGAACAATGATAATTCAAGAATAAACATAAAAATATAGTTTACTGAGAGACAGAGGACACATTCCCAATTACCCTGAGGTAAAATCAAGAATGAATTAATCAAGCTTAAGGATTATCTGAATATTTGTTTCAAAAAATCCTGTCAATAACCAGAGTTTAGAAAACATTTTGGACCTATAATATCCTTGATCTTCCAAGCTTATGAGTCGGAAAATTTGGGTGTTTTAATTTAAGTTCAATTTATTTCAGTATGCTTGGGTTCTGTTACAAAATAATTTAGTATCAAGAGGATACATAATAAACAAAATTTCAACTGATCATCTACATAATTAACTAGCTGAATGAAGAAAAACAGTAAGAGACAGTAGACCACTGGGTGGTATATGTCAGCCACATATTCCATACCATGCCATCACACACACATCATACTCTAGTAAAAATTCAAAAAGAGTGAGACTATTAGAGAAGGATTAATACAATATGAGAGAATCTTAAAGTCAACTTTATAGCTGATAAGAAGTTCACATTTCCAAACATAATGGTTTGTTTTAACCACATTCTATTACCAAGACGTCTTTGGCATCATGCAAAATGGGTTTGAATTCTAGCTCCAACACCCTGAGTAACATCTGAGTAACCCAGAGAAAGGTTAAAGCTCTAAATCTCAGCTTCTTCCTTTATATAATAGAATTGTATATAATTAACAATGTGTTAAAGCACTTAGTGCCTAGAACACTGTAAGTCTTAAAAGGCGACAGATAGTAACTATCTGCTTTACAGTAAAAAGATATAGTACGTAATATTGGAAAGGAAATTTATTTCAAAAATATTCCATAAATCCCACAAATCTCAGAGACTAAGAAGCAGTAGAAACTATAATTCATTCATTTTATTTCTACTCTATAATATTCATTGCTTTCAAATATGTTTAATGAAAAGTCTAAGTAGATGTTACCATATGAAGAAAAATCTTGTTTTAATCTTAAAGAAGTGGATATACGATAGAACTTAGGCACTCACACTTGTGCTTGAAGCTAAATCATACATTTTAAAAAAGAATTCCATGCACATTTACCGATACTTCCAGAAACTCTAAAGGGTTAGATACAATACTAAAAGTTTCAAAGTTATCTAAGCAGAAGAAAATTATCTAAATTACCAAGATTTACTTTAATAACCACAGTTTATAAAATTTCTAAACACCTAACCAGAGAACTTCCATGTTTTTATTATAAGAAAACACATTTTGATAGGAAAAATACCATGATTCAAATTAAATGAGATGTAAGATAAATACAATCATGAGATGCTATAATTATTTTATTTATAAAACATAATATTCATCTGAATTTTAATCAATCAACTAGCAAATTCATTTGAAGAAAGAGGCAAGGTGAGCTGCATAGGCATAAAGCTTAGAAGGACTTTGCATGAAAAAATTTCTATTTATACATCACCAGACATTCTTCCTATACCATTTCAAATCTTTCAGACAATACTTCCATAAGGGGAAATAATAAGAATCATATGGTCTCACAACATTTTCCTTAACCCGTTTCTGTACTCTCGCCCAATATAGTTGGAAATTATTTAATACACCAACAAATTCCATTATTTTGTATCTATTCAAAACAATAAACTGTGATGAAGAAATGATATGTAAAGGTACTAACTTGTATTTAGGTTTACTATAATCATCATAAGTTTGGGGAAACCAAATGTGCTACTTATCCTATAATTGTCTAAGGTACTTAGGTTACTGAAATAAACACTTTGGAACTCATGAATAAAAAGAATGATATAGCTAATAATCTAAATTGAAAGCATTAGACAATTTTCCCCATTTGATTTAGTTCATTAAAAGTCTAAATTTTCTGATATAAAACAAGTCAATCATTTTTCTGTTCCAGGTCAAGATGCTTTCAGTTCAATGTGATGTGAATACTAATAATTCTCTCTCTATTTCGAGAGTCTATTGTTGTCATACTGCTCTCACTAACACAACAGCAAAACCAGCATTAGAGAAGCTCTGGCAGTCAGTTTAACGTAACGCTGACTGCTAAAAAACGAAAACCTTTCACTAAAATATAAAATTGGTTCCATCCTAAGTAAGGTTAGAGTGCTAAATCTTGA